TCAAAATTATTTGCCAGCCCATGTTGAAAAATAATACAATATTAAAATCCCATCAAACAATCATGAGAAGCGGTAGTGGCAACAAATACATCAATTTTAATTTTTAATATGGTAAATATTGATAAATATAACCCATACAAAAGCTCTTTTGGGGTCTCCATAATTTTTAAAAGTGAGAAGGGGTCCTGAGAGAAAAAGGTTTAAGAAACACTGATTTATACCATACTTCCATATATATACTTGAGATGGCTAACAGTGCAATTTACATAAAAATAAAAACAATTTTTAAAAATCAGCAGAGCAGTGTAACTATGAAATTTGGTATTACCTCTGATGTCATCCATACATCCACATCATTATTTTCATCCACTGTATCTGCTATGCAAGGAATTAAAGATACAAATCGCAATATAAGGTCCTGCAAAATAAATAAGAATCTAATCAGCAGGAAATCAAATCAGCAAATCCAACTGATTTGTTATATTTGGAATTATAATATGCATCAAACAAGTATTCATTCATTGTATTATATTTTAATGTTCATTAAGAAATATAAAGAAAAAGTTCTAACTGGCACCCCAGAAAATTTAGAAAGAAAAAATAATTTGACATGTATCAAAGAAATATTTAATCAAATCAGAAAGTTTTCATTCAGTAATAATAATTCATACTTACAGAAGTTGAATTAGGATCTTCTGGATACATATCTAGCAACAGTTGTGGTGGATTCAAAGAAGTAATGTACTTAGTTACTAAAATATTCCTTCCCTGATTGTTAAAAACTGATGTTATTATTCTTCTCTTTGGAAATACTGCTCTCCATGTTTGCTTAAAAATATATGCCCTTTGCAATAGTGTTTCTGCTTCATGATCTGCAAACTAAATACATACTCAAAACTAATACAATATTTAACAATTTCAAACAAATTATATTGTATTTTGCACTTAAAAGAACATTATTTTAAAATTATCTTATATACCAAATGAGATAATTACAAATACCTACCGTATCTAGTTCTAAATTATTTTCAGCAGAGGATAACTGAGGTTCAATAGTGGCAAAGATGGTTAAAAAGCTATATTCTTTCAGGTTCTGCCCCAAACATTCTTCTTTAGGGGGTACATATGTCTTACTCCAAGTATATCCAAGTACAACAGGTGGCATATTTATTTGAAATGTACCACAGATCTGTGAACACATACATTTTAAAAATGCACATAATACAATCAAAGTAAACATCTGATGAGATGGCTGCATTACAGGGATTGTACTGACAATACAACATGTTTAAAAGCATTTTTTTTTCCTTATTACCTTAGATTGTTCGAGTAGAGCAGAGAAAGGAAACACAATTGATCCAAGCCAGTTCTTTCTAATGTAAGAATGACCACTGCAACTATTTGGGCAGGCATCCTAATGAAATACATAACTTGGATTAATCTTTTGTATTTTAAATTAATGTGTGTATCTATGTGCAAAAGAGAGAGAGAGCAAGAGCGCGCACATGTATTTTGAAACAACAGCGTTTCTACAATTACGCAAAATCTATCTAACATATTTTTTTAAGATTGTGCCATGGCAACATATTCAAATTGAAACACTGCTAATGAACATATTTAAAATTTTTAACTGACCAAAAATGTTTTCTTAGTTACAACTTAGTAAAACAGAAATCACTGCACATATATCACTGTATATGCACAAGATCTACACTCTTGGATCCGATAATATTTACTTCATTCTCCTCAGTTAAAATACTGTGAGAGGAAAATTTTAGTAGCCTTCTATATGTTTTAATGTTAGTTTTGATTGCATCTGATAAAGCCAAA